CTGCATCGTGGTGTCAACAACACTAATGAGCTAGGCTCACCATGGATGGTCAACCACTCAAGATCAAAAGGGCAGCATTTACCTAAGGACAAAGTTCAGCAGGGTTGGGAAAGGAGGTAGAATGGAACCCCAGGGAGGAAGTGGGAAAACTGATGTTACATGGACAGGACTGTAGTCATTGAAATGAAACGCAGTATAGCATTTGTTGAGTGTAAATTGATGATCTGCTCTGTAAACCTTCACTCAATTCACAATAAAAAGTTAAAAAAAAAAAAAAAAGCACTCAGAGCCCCACACCTTTCTGCTGTTCCTGAACGTTTTCTGGGTCTTGGCATTGGATGTTCCATCTATGTGAGATGCCCTCCCCCAGGATCCTCACTCAAATGACACCCAGTTACTCCTTGACACCCAGTTCTCAGCTCAAATGCCACCTTTTTTGAGAGGCCTGATCTGCTCACCCACCCTGGATTCCTCACACCCTTTAGGTTCCTCTGTTCCACTCATCAATGCTGATGGTCCTTTGCTGGCTTCTTGTCTACCCTTCCCCACAGACGTGTCGGCTCCATTAAGGGGCTTCTCAGTCTGCCTCAACCACCAGTGCATCCCTAGGACCTGGCACTCCACCCAGAATGAGTGATGCTCAGCCCTGTACCCATCCTCTATCTGACCCACTCTTACCTTCAAGGAGAACTTCTTGCAGCCTTCTCCTACATCCCAAATAGTCACAGTCTTGTCAAAACCCCCAGACACGAGAAAAGAGGCTGCAACACAGGAAGAGCCTTGGGGAGGGTGTCATCTTCCCCAGCCAAGTGCTTCCTTCTCAGGTGAAACTGAAGTGGATGGAGGATGTGTTTTTAAGGTGTCCCCATGGCTCAGTCTGAGGACACTGAAGTGCCTTCGTGCTGTGACTCGATAGCCCCCAACCAGGTTTCTCTAAAACCTAAGAAAGCCAAGGTGTGAAGCTGCCGGGGTGCCCCCTAGTGGGATTCTGAAGCTGGCCATTGGAAGTTTATGATGAGGAAAAGTTCAGAAACGCTCTGGAATTTCTCAAGCTTAGCCCTGACTGTTGTGTGTACTGGCCAGGGGACCATCCTCCAGCCTCCCAGACACACAAAGCAAGCCCCCTTCCCAGGGAAGAAGGAGCACAGAATTTGAACTCCTGCTACTGGGTGTTAGGTACTGTCAGTGCTTCCACTGGGCCATATCACCATGGCAACTGCCTCTCATGGTCCCTGCTCACATCCAGCTCCTCAGCTTTTCTGTGGAGAACCAACCCTTGCCCACACTCAGTCCCTCTGTTTGAGTGGAGAGTGACCCTAATCCCTAGCTCTGGAGATAGGCAAGTCACCAGACCTGGCTGAACAGAACCCTTGATCTTTCCCTAAAGTGTTAGGATCAGAGCCAATGGGAGTTGTCTCCAGAATTGTGGTAGCACCATCTGAAAGTGGGGGGAAGACCATGTTAGCCTGGACCATCAGGGCTAGCTTTGCCTTCTTGAAGAGAGAGGCCAACACAAGAGAGAGTGAGAGAGTTGGGTTCCTGATAGTGTTTGAGTATCTAGAACCAACTCTGCCTGAAGTCAGACCTACCTGCTCTTGGATTTTTCCACTGTTTTGTTAGGTGCTGTCGAATCAGTTCTGACTCCAAGTGGCCCTAGGTCCAATACGGCCTGGTCCTGCACCATCTTCACACTCACTGCTGTGTTTGAGCCCAGTGTTATAGCCACTCTGTCAATCCATCTTGTTGAGGGTCGTCTTCTTTTTTGCTGATCCTCTATGGCAAAAAGATGAGGCTTCCTGCTCCCATAAAGATTCACAGACTCAGAAACCCTATACAGGATCACTATGAGTCAGAACCGACCCAACAGCATGACAGCACGCGGCAGCAGTTACTTTACCAAACATGCTGTCCTTCTCCAAGGACTGGCCCCTCCTGACAACATGTCCAAAGTATGTGATCTGAGTCTCGCCAGCCACGCTTCTAAGGAGCATTCGGCTGCATTTCTTCCAAGACTGACTGGTTTGTTCTTCTGACAGTCCATGGTATATTCAATATGCTGCGTCAACACCTTAATTCAAAAGCATCAATTCTTCAGCCTTCCTTACTCATTGTCCAGCTTTCCTGTGAGTATGAAGTCATTGAAAATCCTGTGGCTTGGGTCAGGCGCACCTTAGTCCTCAAGGTGACATCTTTTTTTTTTTTTTTTAACACTTTAAAGAGATCTTTTGCAGATTTGCCCAATGCAATATATCATTTGATTTCTTGACTTCTACTTCCATGGATATTGATTATGGATCCAAGCAAAATGAACTTCTTGACTCCTTTCATCTTTTCTCCCTTTATCATGATGTTGCTTATTGATACGGTTGTGAGGATTTTTGTTTTCTCAACATTGATTTGTAATCTCTACTAAAGGGTGTAGTCTTTGATCTTCATCCATAAGTGTGTCAAGTCCTCTTCGCTTTGTGTAGACAAGGCTATATCATCTGCCTGTTGCTGGTTGTTCGTGAGTCTTCCTCCCAATTCTGATGCCATGTTCTTCCTCATATAATCCATCCTCTCGGACTATTTGCTCAGCATACAGATTGAATAAGCATGGTGAAAAGATACAATGCTGATGCATACCTTTCCTGGTTTTAAACCATGACGTGACCCTTGGTTCTGTTCTTAATCTATGTATAGGTTCCACATGAGCACAATTAAGTGATCTTGAGTTCCCATTCTTTGCAATACTAGTCATAATTTGTTATGATCTATGCAGTCGAATGCCTTTGCATAGTCAATAAAACACAGACAAACATCTTTCTGGTAGTCTCTGCTTATAGTCAAGATCCATCTGACATCAGCAATGCTCCCCCTCATCCCACATTATCTTGATGTCAACTGCAAGTGGTTTTGAATTATCTTCAGTAAAATGATAGTTGCTTGTGATAGTAAGGTTTTTGTTTGGTAATTTCCACTTTCTTTTGGATCACTTTTCTTTGGAATGGTCACAAATATGGATCTCTTCCGTTCACCCGGCCAGGAGACTATCTTCAGAGATAAGTGAGTGCTTCCAGTGTTGCATCTATTTGTTGAAACATCTTGACAGGTTTGCTGTCGAGTCCTGGAGCCTTGTTTGCTGTCAATGTCTTCAGTACAGCTCATCTTCCTCCCTCAGTGCCATCACTTCTTGACTATCTACTGGCTCCTGAAATGCCTGAACATCGGCCAATTATTTTTTGGTACAGGGACTCATATTCCTTCCACGGTCTTTTGATGCTTCCTGCATTGTGCCACATTTTACCCACAGAATCTTTCAATATTGCAATTCGAGGCTTGAATTTGTTTTCTCCTCCAGTTCTTTCAGTGTGAGAAATGCTGAGCATGTGCATCCCTTTTGGTTTCCTGACTCCAGGTCTTTGCGCATTTCCTCATAGTACTTTATTTGTCTTCTCAAGCTGCCCTTTGAATCTACTCAGCTCTTTCATTTCATCATTTCTTCCTGTTGCTTTAGCTCTAGCTTCTCTATGTACGCACATCTCGGAGTCCCCGCTGACATCCAATTTGGTCTTTTCTTTTTAGTGACCTTTTACTTTCTTCATTTATAATGTCCGTATGTCATCCCACAACTCATCTGGTCTTCACTCATTGGTGTTCAGTGTGACAAATCTAGTCTTGAGATGGTCTCTAAATTCAGGTGGGGTTTATTTAAGGTCTGACTCCTGGTGTGGCACTGTAGCATAAACACTGGACTTCTAACTACAAGGTTGGGGGATTCAAACCCACCAGGCTGCTTCTTGGAAACCCTACATAAGGTTGCTATGGGTGGGAACCGACTGGACAGCACTTAACAACAACAACAAATACTCAGATTCATACTTGAGTTCTCATGGACTTGTTGTCATTTTCTTCAGCTTCAACTTGAACTTGTATATGAGTGATTGATGGTCACTCTGCAGTCAGCCCCTGGCCTTGTTCTGACTGATGATATTGAATTGCTCCATCATCTCTTTGCACAAACAGTCAATTTGATTTGTATATACTGCAGGAGCTCTGGTAGCGTAGTGGTTACGAATCGGGCTGCGAACTGCAAGGTCAGCAGTTCAAAACTACCAGCTGTTCCATAGGAGAAAGAAGAGGCTTTCTGCTCCCGTAAAGATTTATACCCTCGGAAACCCTGTGCAGGGTCACTATGAGTCGGAACCGACTCCATGACACATCACAACAACAACATACTCCATCTAGTGAAGCTCACATGTATAGTTACTATTTATATTGATGAAAAAAGGTATTTGCAGTGAATAAGTCATTAGTCTTGCAAAATTCTATCATGGGACCTCTGGTGTTGTTTCTATGTGTGAGGCCATATCTCCCAGCTACAGAATCATGTTCTTTCTTTTTAACTTGCCCAGTAATTATCAATGCATCTTGAATACATGTTGGCTCAATTTCAGACTGAAAAAGTTGGTAAAAAAAATCTTTTTGATTGTTTTTTTCATCATGGCGTTAATAGCTGTCCTATCAGTAACAGTGTTGTACTTCAAGAATAGATAAGATGCCATTCCTTGTCAATTTGTCGTTGCCAGCACAGTCTGATTTCAAATGTCCAATGCCAACTTGATATACTAAAGCATATCAATCTTTATTCATTCCATTTAATTTTTTACAATGTCTAGTTTTCCTAGATTCACACTTAGTACATTCCACATTCTTAGTTTTGTGAATGTTTGAGATGGTTTCTTCTCATTTTCAGTCTTACCACAATAGCAAATGAAAATCCTGAAAGCTTTATTCCATCCGCATTATTAAAGTTGATTTTACCTTGAGGAGGCAACTCTTCCCCAGCCGTATTTTGAGTGGCTTCCAACCCGAAGGGCTTATCCTTCTGGTCCTATATTTGGTAATGTTCCACTACTATTCATAAGGTTCTCACTGGCTCATTTTTCTCAGAAGTAGATCTCCAGATCTTCCTATCTTAATCTGGACGGTCTTCTGAAACCTGTCCACCATGGACGACCCTGGTGGTATTGGAAATCTTGGTGGCCTAGCTTCCAGCATCACGACAACATGCAAGCCACCACAGTACAACGAACTATTGGGCAAGTTCCATTATGTGAACTAAGAAATACATTTTGTTGCTTAAGCTACAGTGTGTTGAATTTCTGTCACTGTACCAACAATAACTGGCCAATGTTCAGCCATTTCAGGAGGCAGACTAGAGTCAAGACCTGATGGTACTGAAGAAGGAAGACAAGCTGTGCTAAATGAAGGCTTTGACTTTTTTGTTCTTGTGGAAAATAATCCATGTTCATTGTGGCCTCACTGGAAATCACCTTTCTACTACTTGAACAGAAAGAATCTGAGAACCACCGCCCCAGCATTCCCATGGTTACAGAATCCTTCTACTTGTGAATTACTCACCATCTCTGGAAAACTGACAGGAGCTCACAGAACCTTTGTGGCCCTGCATCAAAGTCACACAGGCGCCTTGGTTCCGAAACTCCCCTGTATGGACGTTCCATATCTTTAAGGTTTTATCCCAAGAACTCGTACACAGAAAATGGCCGCTGAAGGTGAAACAGCAGTTTGAGATTAAATTGGCGTGTGCCCTGAAACACAGATGAAAGAAATGCACACATTACACTCCATTCCTGGAGGACCCGAAGGTGTTCCTGGGGCATTAGGGAGTGGGAGGGATGAGAAATTGGGTCTGATCTCATGTGACCTAATGGACGCTGTTCCTTTGGATCACTGCCAATGGAGACCCAGATATTTACTGGATTTAACTGTATCACACTATTCCAGACTTTTTCAACCTTGGCAGTTTTGCTATTTTGTACTGGATGATTCTTATTTGTGGAGGGCTGTCCTGTGCACCGTAGGATGGTTAGCAGCATCCTTGACCGCTCCCAGATTTGTGACAACCAAAAATGTCTCTAACCATTACCAAATGCCCACCAGGGGACAAAACTGAAAACTACTGTGTTGTGGTTTAAAGAAAGAAAGAAGAAGAAAACCCCACTGGTTCACAGCAACCCTGTATAAGGTTTCTGAGCCTGTAATATTTATGGGAGCAGACAAATTCATCTTTCTCCCTTGGGGATTTGAACTGCTGATCTTGCAGTTAGCAGCCCAATGTTTATCCCATAGTTAGTTAAATGGACTAACTACTTGTAGCTGATGGACTAACAAGCCTTTTCATGTTTGGTGCTGAGGAGATGACAAAGTGGTTCATTCTCTCCTAGACATGGAAAAGACAAGCCCACAGATTCAAGAAGTTGTATGAACCCCAAACACGATAAGCCCAAAGAAAACTACACCAAGACACATCATAGTTAAACTCTGACAACTAAGACAAAAACTTTTTTTTTTTTTAAAGCAGCGAGAGAGGGATAAACAATTCCTATGACAGCACATTCCTCATCAGAAACCATGGAGGCCAGACGGAAATGACACAACATCCTTCAAGTACTGAAAGCCCAGATTGTTCTATCCAAGAACATTACCCATCAGGACTGAAGGGGAAATCAAGACATTTTTAGATGTCGGGAAGCTAGGAGAATCTGTTGACTTCAGACCTAATTAACCTAAAAGAATGACTAGAGCAATCTCTCTAAACAGAAAGGAAATTATAAAAGAAGGAATGTTCGAATCAGGGAGGAAGAGAGGAAGAAAGAATACAATATGCAAAAATATGGCTACATACAAAAACTTCCCTCCTTTTGATTCTTCTCAATGATATCTAACAGTTAAAGCAAAAAATATATATAATAAAGTACTTATGTTTACTAAATGCAAACTTCAAAACTCCAAATCAACTAGCAGAACCAGATACATCATTTGCAAACCTCAGTGCAAAATTAAAATGCAAGGTCCCTTGTTTTGAAAAATGAGTAAGAATTCCAAGATGTTGCTGTTGTTGTTGTTGTTGTTGTTGTATATGCTGCCGGGTCGGCTCAGACTCAGTGACCCTGTGTAGGGTTTAAATCTTTATGGGAGGAGAAAGTCTCCTGTTGAAGTCGCTGACAGCAAGCTTTAAACCAAACACTTCTGAGCATCCATGAAGCCCTCCCTGTCCTGTGTCACTGAGAATCCTTGCATCTCTGTTTTCTTGCTAAAAGCTATAATTCCAGGAAAATCACAAATTCGGGTAAACAAAAAAACAAAACAACAAATCAGACATGCCTATGGCTATGTGCCTTGTCAGTTATCGCCACTATGGGGGCTGCCGAATGGAGTGGGGTACAGTCACTTGCCCATAGCTGGAGCTGTGCACACCTCTGCAACCCCTCTTCCCTCCCTCCTATCACCCGATGGTTCTAAGAAGCACTGACCAGACTCTCCGTGGCGCCGAGAGGAGAGTACACGCAGACCCTCCTTCAGCCAGGCATCTCACCCTGGCCTGGTTTCCACAGACGTCCCTCTCAGTAATGAAAGCATATGCTGTGAGCCCACTGTGGAGCCTGCACTAGTCTAAGGACCCCTAGTTCCGACCTCCCCAGGAGGTTGTTACTGTTAGCTGCCGTTGCCATGGACAGTTAGACTGAATCTCTGTGCGCCCCAGGCTTCTCATTGCCAGTGTTCTTGGAAGTAGCTCACCACACCTTCCTTAGTCCATCTTAGTCTGGAAACGCCACTGAAACTTGTTTAACATCAAAATCACATGCAAGGTGCTGTATTTGAGGTGCATTGGCTAAGAATCGAACCCAAGGTCTCTCACATGGAGAGTGAGCATTCTACCACTGAATGCCCAGTCTTCCCCTACCCAGCCCCATGAGGTAGGCACCATATTACACTCAGTTTGCAGGTCAGGAAACTGAGGTCCAAGGTCACACAGCTAGTTAAGTGGTGAACCCAGCAAGGTTCAAAGGTCAATGTTCTCAAGCATCCTGGGAAAGCAGGGCCCGGGTCACGGTGTGCGAGTCAGACATGGTAACAGGGTGTGTCCACATTCTGGGATTCCTGACTGCAGACAGGGACTGTCATCAGGTGGTTCCCATTTTTGTAGGAATGCCACACAGTGTTTTCCAGTATTGGATCACAGACCATGTTGTTGTTAGGTGCTATCGAGTTGGTACTGACTCATAGTGACCCTATGCACAACAGAACAAAACACTGTCCAATCCGGGGCCAACCTCACTACTGTTGCTATATCTGAGCTCATAGCTGCTGCCACTGTGCCAATCCATCTCATTCGGGACCTTCCTCTGTTTCTCTGACCCTCCACTTTACCAAACATGATATCCTTCTCCAGGGACTTGGTCCCTCCTGATAATACGACTGAAAAGTATGAGGGACGAAGTTTGCCCATCCTGGCCTCCAAGGAGCACTCTGGTTATACTTCCTGGCAGTCCATGGTACTTCCCATATTCTCCTCAACACCATAACTCAAATGCCTCAATAGCTGGTAGCATCCCCGTGACCTGCCTGCTGCCTTCTCCAGCTTCCTGGTAACCACCCACAAGGGAACCTGGGTGCCTCCATGTGGAAGCTGGCTCGTAGGCGGAAGCTGTGAGATAGGAAGTCCAACAGGGCACCACGGGAAGGTCCGACCCCCCTCGTCACTGCAGCTGGGTGCCCAGCCTCCCAGACCCTCGTCACTTTGTGATGGTGAGCAGCGTGGCCTGGGACAAAACATCCAAGATCTTGACGGTCCTGTCCGACGAGACTGAAGCCACCTTCTGGCTGTCTTGGTCAAAGCAGCATGCAGTCACCGACCGTTTGTGATGATCTGAGACACGGGAAAGAAATGACACGTTTACATGGTCTGGAATGCTCTCTGCTCCCCACACCGTCAGTTGTTGTTGTGTGCCATGGAGTCGGTTCCGACTCCGAGGCTGTAAATCTTTACGGGAGCAGAAAGCCTCATCTTTCTCCCGCGGAAAGCAACCTTATTACAGAAACAGGACCTCAATGTCATAGTGGCTTGCACAGCCATCTCCTGAGTGCCTACTATGTGCCAGGCTTTGAACAATGGATACATACGGCAGACCTGCTTCCTACCCTGGCAGAACTCCCAGTCAGATAAGGGAGACAGACCTGCTGGGGCAGGCAGCAGCCGGTGAGCAGGCCAGGGCAGTGTGAGGAGTACACGGTGCAATACGGATCCCAGCCAGCAGGGGTCAGCCTTGAGGTGTCAAAAAGTAACTTTAAAAGGTTACAAAGGAGGCAGAAGGAAAAATAGCTGGGGGAAAGAAACTGCATTTGCAAAGGTCGGGAGGTGGAGCGCAGTGGCAAGAAGCTGAAAGTAGAGGCACAAGCCGAAGGTAATACTGGAAGTGAAAAAGGCGAGCTGTGGCCTCCATGTTGGTAAACAGTCCCCATAAAGGACGAATGGGAAGTACAAGTTGTACACACACACACACACACACACACACACACACACACAGTTTCAGCAAGCCAGCCAGCAACGTCTGGTTAATAATGGTACATATGGAGAGGAGACAGGCAGGGAGACTGTCACTTTTTTACTTTATATATCTACCTGATTTCTTTGTGAGGTCACTGTAGAGCCAGCTGTATAGAGAGGTCCCACATGCCCTTCGCCCAGTGTGTCCCAGTGCTAACATCTTACATTATAACAGCCTCAAACCCAGGGATACAATGAGCATGCATGATTTTTAGATTTTAAATATACAAGTAAACGTGTAAAGAAGGCTGAGCCTCTTCCACTCTTTCAAAGGTGAGTCTGCATGAAACTGGAAAGGAAGACTGTGTACACATTTACTACATGCAGGACACTGAGGGGATTCAGTGCTGGGAAAACGACTTTTGTCAACGTCTCAACCTTAATAATATGGCTTTTACTGTGTCACCAAATAAGACAATCAAAATCCATGACGGTCAAATGCCAAGTGCCCGTTACCATGGCTACAAGAGCAAAGCAGGAAGCCTCACCTTTGATGTGTGAGATGGTGGTACCATTTTTCGCATCCATTAGACTGATTCCGCGGTCCACATCCAAGGCCGAGACCACGTATTTACCATCAGGAGAAAACTTACAGGAGACTATGAAGTTATCATGCTTGACCTTCCACTGAAATGGGCCAACAATCAAAGGCTGTTTTCTTTCTAGACCAATAGTTTTTTGTGATGATAAAAATGTTCTATATATGCATCATCCAATATGGTAACCACTAGTCACAGGCTAATGTGCGGGACTGCAAAGTTGGTTTGAACTGTAAGGTCAGCGGTTCAAGCTCACCAGCCACACCTAGGAAACCCTATACAGGGTCATGATGGGTCAGAACCAACTGGACAGCACATAACAACAACAAGAATTTGCATGTGGTGTCGTGGTTTATGCTTTGGGCTGCTAACTGCAAGGTCAGGAGTTCAAATCCACCGGCAGCTCCTTGGGAGAAGGATGAAGCTTCTGCTCTGATAATGATTTACAGTCTTGGAAAGCCTTACATAGGATCACTATGAGTAGGAACTGTTGCAGACCGCTATCACTGAGATGTTGAGGCCCTGTGTCATGGACGAAAAACCAACACAGCAGCGCCACTCAGGCTTGCTAGCCAGGGACCCTGAGGGTCCAAGGAAGTAACCTCCAGACGTCCCGGGTTCATCGGCTTTTACGAACTCACTGTTGGGCTAGCTCTGTGTAATTTCCTTTAGTCCTATTAATTCATTCTATGCTTTGAACTCCAGTAATTGTAGCTTCTGAGAAAATGGTTTCTTATGTGCTTCTCTCAATGTCGCCACTGTGTTGGCAGTGCTTAAGGTTCTGGGAACAAATCTCTCTGAGGAACAAACTCTGGCCACCCAGCAAGTACGTCCAAACTGTTCTTTATCAAATTATTCAGTTATGTTTGATATTAACTTAATACATGAACCCTTGATACCCATGGACAAATATTAAAACAAAAACCTCTTCTAAAGCCGAGGCCTAAAAGTTCCTAGGGCAAGTTTGCTGGGAGACGCTGGAGAAAAAATTCCCCTAAGGAATTCACCCAAAGTAGATTGGCAGCTTCCGGGGTTTTGTTCAAAGAAATAATAGCGACAGCCGTCTCAGATAGTCCCCAGGTGCAGACCATTAACATAGGCGTCCTCCTTCCTCCTGCAAGCCTCGGCCAGGTAGCTGAAACAGTTGGGCTCCTTTCTCACTTTTGAATCCTTTTCTCACTGAAGATTAGGTGCTATAGGTATGTTAACTAGCCTTGAGAAACCTCGAGCTGCTGTCTTGGGATTTGAACCTAGAAAGTACTATATAACAATTTGTTTGAATTTCTAGAAAATTAAGGATGTTAGATTATCAAGACAATTTGTGATGTATGTTTTAGAATTTGTTCCTGTAAATCATTGTGTCCTGTTTTGAACAATTAATCACATTTCACTTCTGTACCCTGTCTTAATAATCCCCGCCTTCCTTTGTGTAAAGCTCCTCCCTGCAATAAAAAGGAGGCACAGACTGAAGCCTGCATGTGTTATGGCTTGCAGGGCATGCATTACAGGCAGGCATTGCAGTTGGTAAGGTGTGCATACTGCTTGCCTAGCCATGATGTTTACAATGCAGGATCTGTCTGATGCCAGTGTCGCATCCACTCTGGTCTCGGGGTGTCTTCTTGTCTCTCTTGTTGCGTCTTTGTGTGTATTCTTTCTCTATCTCTGTCGCCGCCAGATCTCCCTACTTCGTGAACCAAACCCCCATGTCGAGGCCTGTTCTCGACAAGGAACCAACTCAATGGCACAAAACAACATAGCATGTGGCCATTAAGCATTTGTAAGGTTGCTAGTGAATATAGAAGCTGACCTTTTATGTTTAATTTTAATTAACACTGAAAATGTTTTCCCATTTCTCTCTTGACTCTTGAGTCATGTGAGGGAGATCACACCAGGACTGTGTCTGGGACAGATGAAGAGGGACGGAGAGGACACATAGTGGAACTGGTGGCCAGGTTTATTCCTGTTCACTTTGGATAAACAAGTGTTCATTGAGCGTCTGCATTCTGCCTAGCTCCAGAGACAAGACACTCCAGTCTCAGTTCTCCAGGCAGCTCACAGTCTCCTCGGGGAGGGTAGCATCAAACCACAAGAAGCGGGGGAGGAGTTACTCCAGAGTGTAGCACACTGGGATCTTCCAGGGTGTGATAAATGACAGAATTACCATTGTAACAAGTGGTTACGAATTGGGCTGCGAGCCGCAAGGCCAGCAGTTCAAAACTACCAGCTGCTCCACGGGAGAAAGATGAGACTTTCTGCTCCTGTAAAGACTTCTAGCCTCGGAAACCCCTGTACAGGGTTGCCATGAGTTGGTTCTGATTCCACGGCACATAACCACCACCACCATTGTAACAGTTTTGAAATAAGCCCACATATTCTTCCGCAGTTCTTCCTCCAAATGATGGAGCCGAATTCACTTTGAATGTGGGCTAGACTTAGAGACTCACTTCTAATGAATAAAATACAGCAGACAAAGAGGCAAACATGCTATACCCACTTAAATGAAATATCTAGAATAGGCAAATGTGTAGAAACAAAGGTTTGTCAGTGGTTACTAGGAATTAGGGGAAGCAGGAAAGAGGAGCAGAGGACCTATTAAGGTAGAATGAGCTTCTGTTTAAGATAATGAACATCTTTTGGAAATGGATACTGTTGTTGGCCACACCACATGGTAAACGTAATTAAAGTCACTGACTTTAAATGTTAAATGTTCGTGCTTTCTTTGTGAGAAATTTTCAGTTACATATTTTTTTTTTTTTTTTTCTCTTAAGTTTTTATTGTGGACTGAGTGAAAGTTTACAGGGCAGATCATCAGTTTTACATTCAACAAATCCTACACCTTGTTTCATGACAATGATTATAATCCTCTCCATCAGTTACATACATTTTGCCACAATAAAAAGTTTTTTTTTTTAATTATGGCAGAAGTCAGGGGAGCTCGGTGGTTCCATAAGATAAGCACAGGATTGCGAACCACAAGGTTGGTGGTTTGAGCCCACCAGCAGCTCTGAAGGAGACAGATGAGGCTTTCTGACCCCGCAAAGGTTTTAAAAGCCCCAGAAACCCTATACAGGGCCACCATATTGGAACTAACTCAGCGGCTCTTAACAGCAAAAGGACAATGGCAGAAGTGACTGTTGGCAATTAGCTCATAATAGGCATCTTGGCTTCCTCCTTGCTCTCTCTTGAATGGTTGGCTCTGGGGAAAGTTAACAACCATGTCCTGAGGATGCCCTTTGGAGAGACCCACATGGAAAGAAACTGAGGCCTCCTGCCAACAGTCATAAGAGTGAGCCATCTTGGAAGTGGATCCTAGTCAAAGTTTCAACTGGCTGCAGCCCTGGCCGCCATCTTGACCATGACACCTCACGAGAGACTTAAGCCAGAACCACCTACTTCCAGATTTCTGACCAACAGAAACTGTGTAAATAAGACATGTTTGTTGTTTTAAGCTGATTACTGTGGAATCATTTATCAGGCAGTGTCATTAAGTGCCTTAGAGTCAGTTCTGACTCAGTGATCCTGTATAAGGTTTCCAAGGAGCAGCTGGTGAATTTGAACTGCTGACCTTGAGGTTCGTACCGACCTTGCTGTTCAAACAGACCTTGCAGTGCAGCGCATTATCCTGCAGCACCATACCAGGACTCCTGTCAAACAGTTGTTGTTTAGTGCCATCGAGTCGATTCCGACCCATAGCGACCCTTTATAAGTTTTACGAGGAGTGGCTGGTGAGCTTGAACTGCCAACCTTGCAGTTCAAACGGCTTTGCAGTCTGGCACATTAACCCACAATGGTGGTGCTGGTGGTGGTTATGTGCCATGGAATTGGAACCGACTCATAGCGACCCTGTACAGAGTTTCCAAGGCTAGAAATCTTTACAGAAGCAGAAAGCCTCATCTTTCTCCTGTGGAGCAGCTGGTAGTTTCAAACTGCTGACCTTAAGGTTCGCAGCCCAATTCGTAACCACTACGCTAGCAAAGCTCCTTTAACCCACAGTAGTAGGTGACTAATTCAGCTATAACATTGGCCATGGTACAGATTGCTTGAGTAACAAAAATGAATAAACATACTTTTAATGAAGGAAAAACAAAACACCTCAAATGGAAAATCTGGTGTGAAGCAAGAACAAAAGAGTTAATAAAAGAAATATGTGGAAAAGTGCTCAAAGTTAGGAGTAATCAAAGCAAACCGCATTTATCAGTCACGAAATTGACTAAAATATTAAAGTGCATGATCCTCAGCACTTGAAAATGAAAGCTGCCGAGCCCTCTCTGGGTGCCTGAGGCATGAGTGGGCCCAGATTTTTGGAAGGCAATTGGGCAGTTTCATTTCTATATTGTTTAAATTAGCAACAGAATCTAGCTACATGGCCTTTTAAAAATTGGAGGATACGTATTAAAAATCTTTCCTTGTTACAGCATTGTCAACAATAGAGACAACACCCTCAGAACCTAGTATCAGGGAATGCTGCAAGAGACTGTATGGACGGTCTCTACCGAAGACGCCATGGGTCCATTAAAAAGGATGACACAAGTGTACACTTATTTACAATGATTATTAAATGGGGAGAAAATCAGGGACCAAAAAGTGGGTATCACTATTGTTAAGCGTCATTGAGTTGGTTCCAACTCATAGTGACCCTGTGTAGGGTTTCTGAGGAGCGGCTGGTGGGTTTGAACTGCTGATCATTCGGTTAGCAGTCCAGTGTTAATCCTACAGCACCACACACACAAGGACTCCAAATGTAGGTACATGGTGACATTATTTTAACAAAATATATCAGCGTGTATTCATATATAACATGTCTATAGAAAATGAAACACCAAAATATATATAATCCCTGGGAAGTAGCTTCAGGGTTTGCTTTGGAATTTTTTTTTTAACTTCTTTCTGAAAAAAAATTTTTTTTTAAATGATGAATAGAAAATGGCCTTTGCACTAAGCAGAAAGGTTGTGTTTTAAGGAGAGGACCAAGGAAGAAGGGAGAGGAGAGGCACTGAGGAAGTGATGTACGCTGGGCATGAGGAACTGGACCTGAAGGAGAGGCACCAGCTGGGCCAAGCGGCTTGCTTGTGGGAAGAAAAGAGGGAGAGATCCCTGTGGTGAGAGTTGTGGACTCTTGGATGGACAGACAGCGGTCCCTCCAGGTTGGGAAGGCCTAGGAACTTTGCACTTCAGCCACATGGTCCCATACCCTACTACATCAAATCAGACATCCCCCAAGGGAAAGGATTTATATTCCCATGCAGTTGTCCCAGCCCGGAACAACAGGCCCTCTCCCTCTTTCTGTGTAGCCAAACCCGATTCCGCCCTGGCTCTGCCTGTTCCAAGACACTTTCCTTCCCCAATTCCTGCTTCCATCACCTGCATCTTCCTAAGGCTGCACACTTGGCAAGCCATGGCTATTGTCTTCTCTCCCCACGCCCACCCAGCCCAGGACTGTTAATGCCCACCAGAGACTGCAGCAGACCATACATACCAGAAGCTTTCCTGTCTCAAGGTCCCAAACCTGGATTGTTTTGTCGTAGGATGCTGCAAGAATTCTGGAAATAAAATGCAAACATATAGGCTCTTAACAGCAGGAACAATTATGTTTGCTGTTTCCATGAGAATTTCCTCATAGAAAACTTGCATTATTTAAAACTGAGAATGCTGGTAATACCCAAATTTTTCAAAACATGCTCCAGAAAATGTGTTTTATGAAAATATTTTTCAACTGCCTAGCAGTTACAAATGGGCTGCTAACCTCAAGGTCGGCAGTTCGAAACCATCAGCTGTTCCATGGGAGAAAGATGAGGCTTTCTACTCCTGTAAAGATCTGCCGCCTCGGAAACCCTGTGCAGGGTCACTATGAGTCGGAACCGACTCCATGGTACTTAACAACAAAAAGTATTGAAGACTGTAGAAGAATTGCTGCTTTTGAGTTATAGTGTTGGAGGAGAATACTGAAAGTGCCATGGCTGCCAAAAGAACCAACAGATCTGTGTTGGAAGAAGTGCAGCCAGAGTGCTCCTTGAGGCCAGGATGGGCAAACTTTGCCTCTCATACTTCAGACATTATTGTCAGGAGGATCCAGTCGCTGGAGAAGGATATCATGTTTGGTAAGGTGGAGGGTCAGAGAAAAAGAGGAAGGCCCCCAACGAGATGGATTGGCAAATTGGCAGCATCAATGGACTCAAGTGTGGCAACAATTGTGAGGTTGGCCCAGGACTGGGCAGTGTTTAGTTCTGTTATACATAGGGTCGCTGTGAGTTGGTATCAACTTGATGGCACCTAACAACAACAACATTGATTATAAGATGAATGTGATCTTCACTCCTGAATGAAGAGTGTGGCCTGTTGCTCAGAGTGACCGTCTGCCCTCCCCATGAAGACTCAATCATGTACCTGGGGCTTCTGCGAGCCCTGCTGGAGACCAATAGGTCTGGTTCAAAGGCAACTGCACCCATAGCTTCCGCTCTCCAGAGATTTCCCCCAACCTCTGACTTCCATCAAGCCACTGGGACCCTGGGTGGGACCCATGTGACACAGGCAGGAAGGATGGCCAGTTTGCTTCAGGACTTTACCTTAGAACTCATTGGAGAGAGAGAGAGAACTCAACACCAAAGTTACTGTCGCACAATCATCGTCCTTAACGCTTCAGGCACTCACAGATGTTTTTATATTTGGGTTTTAATGATCATTGACTGTCTCCTTCAAAGGTGATTCCTACAACTCACAAAATTGAAGCCTGTCCCCTCGGCTCACCTGTCTTCTCACTGGGAAAGGTCTCCTAGACAGCTTATTTCATTCTGAAACACTTTCTGGTCTGTTGACTCACATACTATCCATGTACCTTTGTTGTCTTCTATTGCATGTTTCTGTGGCAACCTTTGTCCTCTAGATAAAATACTTTTCCATGAAACAAATTCCCATCACAGTTTTTAGAAAAATTATTTCTACAGCTGTTGCTCAGGGAAAAAGTGAATCCATTTAAAGCAAATCCTTATCTTTTAAAGGCATAGCTCCCATCTGTGTGACTGGATTTAAGCCATTCCCAAGGCCCTTCCCGTGTGTCACTGCCTCCCAGCCCTGATCCTTAGAGATAAAGGCTCGGGCAAGTCTCTGTGACCCTGGGCCTCTGTTTACACTCTGGGACATGAGGGTCTGGACTCAATCAATAAGGCCCCTTGCAGCTATCACAGTGCATACGTGTTGTTGTTGTTGTTGTGAAGTGCCGTCGAGTCCATTCCGGCTCATCGTGACCCTGTATAGTGTTTCCAAGGAGCCACTGGTGAGCTTGAACCACTGACCTTTCAGTTCAAATGACTTTGCAGTCTGACACATTAACCCACAGCGCCACACCAGGACTCCAGTCTATACATTGTTGTTGTGATGTGCTGTGGAGTCAGTTCCAACTCATAGTGACCCTGTACAAGGTTTCTGAGGCTGTAATCTTCTGCGGGAGCAGAAAGTCTCTCATCTTTCTCCCATGGAACTGCTGGTAGTTTCGAACTCCTGACCCTGAGGTTAGCAGCCCAATTTGTAACCACTACGCTACCAGAGCACCTTAGTCCATACCTAGGACTACAGAAAAGAAACTTCATGAAGAAAATCCAGGTTGGCTTTATATTGTTGTTATAAGGTGCCATCAAGTAGGTTCCGACTCGTTTAACCCTATACACAACAGAACAAAACACTGCCTGGTCCTGTTGTTATGTTTGAGCCCATTGTTGCTGCCACTGTTACCAGTCCATCTTGTTAGGGGTCTTTCTGTTTCTCACTGCCCCTCTACTCCACCAAGCATGATGTCCTTCTCCAGCGGTTGGTTCCTCCTGACAACATGTCCAAAGTATGAGAGATAAAGTCTCACCATCCAAGCTTCTAGGAAGCATTCTGGATATACTCTTCCAAGACAGATTAGATTGTTCTTTTGGCAGTCTATGTTATTTTAAATATTGTTCTCCAACACCATAATTCAAATGCATCAATTCTTCTGTCTTCCTTATTCACTGTCCAATTTACACATGCATATGAGGCAATTGAGAATACCATGGCTTAGGTCAAGCACACCTTAGTCTTCAAAGTGACATATTTGCTCTTTAGGGTGTTAAAAAAGGTCTTGTGCAGCAGATTTGCCTAATGCAAATCTTTTTTTTTTTTTTTTATTTCTTGACTGCTGCTTCCATAAGTGATGACACTGGATCCAAGCAAAATGAAATCTTTGGCAACTTCAATCTTCTCTCCATTTACCATGATGTTGTTTACTGGTCCAGTGGTGAGGACTTTTGTTTTCTTTACATTAAGAAGCAACCCATACTGAAGGCTGTACTCTTTGATCTTCATCAGTAAATATTTTAAGTCATCTTCCCTTTCAGCAAGCACAGTTGTACCGTCTGCATCTCACAGGCTGTTCATGAGTCTTCCTCCAATTCTGATGCCACAGCTCTTCATATAGTCCAGCTTCTTGGATTATTTGCTTATTGTACAGACTACAAAAAGGTATGGTGAAAGGATAGAACACTGATACACATCTTTCCTGATTTTAAACCATTCAGCATTCCTTTGTTCTATTCTTACTACTGCCTTCTGATCTATGAACAGGTTCCTCATGAGCACAATGAAGTGTTCTGGAACACTCATTCTTCACAATGTAATCCAGAGCTTGCTTTATCCACACAGTCAGTCAAATGCCTATGCATAGTCAATAAAGCACAAGTTAACATGAATCCAGCTTGAATTCTGGCAGTTCTCTGTAGATGGAATGTTGCAACTGTTTTGGATTATCTTCAGCAAATTGTTACTTGCATGTGGTATTAATGATATCAGTCGATGAATTCTGCATTCCATTGAGACATTTTTCTTTGCAATGAGCACAAATATGGATCTCTTCCAATCAGTTGGCCAGCTGCCTTCCAAATTTCTTGGCATAGATGATGGAGTGCCTCCAGTGCTGCATCCGTTTGTTGAAACATTTCCATTTGTATTTTGTTGATTCCTGAAGCCTTGTTTTTTGCCAATGCCTTCGGTATAGCTTGGACTTCTCCCTTCAATACCATCAGTTCTTGATCAACTCTTGAAATGGTTGAGCACCGAACAATTCTTTTCGGGACAGTGACTCCGTAGGATTCTTTCTATCTTCTTTTTTTGTTGTTGTTGGGTTTTTTGTTTTTTGTTTTTATGTTTTATTGTGAATTATGTGATAGTTTACATGGGAGAACATTAGTTTTACATTTATCATTTCATTGCCATGGTTACAATCCCCTCCATGCATCATCAACCAACCAAAAAATATACCCTACAAGCCTGCCCCCCTGGTCATCAGCACACAAGCCCCTCTCCTTCTCTGGATCTAAAGTCCCCAGCTGCTCCATCTCTCCACATCATCGTGTCTGCCTCCATCTCAGGCATCACTGCTTCTCTGGGTGGCATCCCGTTCTCCACTTCTTTCTATCTTCTTTTGATGCTTCCTGTGTAATTCAACATTTTCCCAATGGAATTCTTTAATAGTTCAAGTCGAGGCTTGAAATTTTTCTTCAGTTCTTTCAACTTGAGAAATGCTGAGCGTGTTTTTCTCTTTCAGTTTTCTAACTTTGCACATTTCATTATAATAGGTAACTGTGTCTTGTTGAGCTGACGTTTGAAATTTTCTGTTTAGCTCTTTCACCTCCCCATTTCTTCCAATCATTCTCTATGTTCTACAGTTAAATTTCAGAGTCTGTTCTTACATCCATTTTAGCCTTGCCTTTCCTGTCTTTTTAATGACCTTTTACTTTCTTCATGTAGGATGTTCTAGATGTCATCTTACAACTCTTCAGATTTTCAGTTATGAGTGTCTAATGCATCAAATATGTACTTGAAATGATCTCTAAATTCAAGTGGATGTATTCAAAGTCATATTTTGACTCTTGTAGACTTGTTTTAATTTGTTTTTCAGTTTCAGGCTGAATTTGCATATGAGCAATTGATGTTTTTTTCTACATCCAGCCCCTGGCTTTGTTTTGGCTAATGATATTGAGCTTTTCCATCCCATCATTTCTTCCCACAGATGTAGACAAACTGATTCCTATGTATTACATCTGATGAGGTCTATATGTATGTATAGTTGCCTTTTACGTTGTTGAAGAAAGGTATTTGTAATGAAGAAGTCATTTATTGGTCTTGCAAAATTCTATCATACAACTGATCTCCAGCCTCATTTCTATCACCAAAGCCCTATTTCCAGCTGTAGTGCCTTCTTGCTTGTTTCTAATTTTCACATTCCTGTTGCCAGTAATTATCAGTGCATCTTGATTTCAAGCTTGATCAATTTCAGACTGAAGAACTTGGTAGAAATCTTCAATTTCATTATCATTTGACTTTAGTGATTGTTGCATAAATTTGAACAATAGTGATATTAGCTGGTTTCCTTGTAAATGTAATGGATAGTATCTATCACAGCACTGGACTTCAAGATAAATCTTTAAATGCTCTTTTTGACAAGCAACGTGATGCCACTCCTGTTCAGTTTGTTGCTCCCGGCATAGTAAACCATACAGTTGTCTGATTCAAAATGACTAGTACTAGTCCATTTCAGATCACTAATGCCCAGGATATTGATCCAAATGCATTCCATTTCATTTTCATCTATTTCCCATTTTCCTAGACTCATACTTCTTACATCCCATGTTCTGATTATTAATGGATGTTTGCACTGTTTCTTCTTCATCAGCAAATGAAGACTCTGAAAGCTTTGCTCCATTCACATCATTAAGGTCGACTCTACTTTGAGACGGCAGCACTTCCCCAGTCATATTTTGAGAGCCCTCTAACTTGAGAGGCACAACTTTAGGCTCTCTGTCTGAAAGTGCTCCACTCCTATTCATAAGGTTTTCCGTGGCTGATCATTCAGGAGCAGTCCTCCCCTGCTTATGAGTCTGCCTCAGTGTGGAAGCGCCACTGACACCATTGCTGATCATTGAAATACGGGTGGCATAGCTTTCATCATCACAACATACAAGTCACCACAGTCCAACAAGCTGACAGACAAGCAGGGGGGCTTCATTGTAGTCACAATACATTTCAAGTTTTTAGCACTTTTCAAAATATTGCCACATCTTGATTCTCATAGAAGAAAGAAAGGAAGGAAGGAAGGAAGGAAGGAAAGCCATGAGACAATAGATGTCAGTGTGGTTGTCCGTTTACTTACAACAGTGGTGGGGAACGTCTGGCCTACAGGCTGTATTTAGTCTGGCCCTGCCAAGGCAACTGCAGTTCCAGCCATCACAGTGTGTGGGTGTTAAGTGCCATCCAGTTGGTTTCTGAAGAGTGGCTGGTGCCTTTGAACTGCTGACCTTGCATTTCAAACCAACCTTGCAGTTTGAAATGCAGGGTCAGCTGCACACCAGGACTCCAGTCATCACATTGTTGTTGTTGTTGTTCTAACTCATAGTGGCCCTGCACAAGGTTTCCGAGGCTGCAAATCTTTACAGGAGCAGAATGCCTCATCTTTCTCCCGCGGAACCACTGGTAGTTTCAAACTGCTGACCTTGAGGTTGGCAGCCCAACTCGTACCCACTACGCTACCAGAGCTCGTTAGTCATCACATTGTTGTTGTTGTTATGTGCCATGGAGTCCGTTCCGACTCATAGCAACCCTGCATAGGGTTTCCAAGGCTGTAAATCTTTACAGGAGCAGAAAGCCTCATCTTTCTCCTGCTGAGCAGCTGGTAGTTTCGAACTGCTGACCTTGCGGCTCGCAGCCCGATTCGTAACCACTACACTACCAGAGCTCCTTAAGTTAGCGGTGAGTTAATTAAAAGGTTGGCCAAATATAGCAGGCTAATTTTTAAGATGCTATAAATATCCAAATGGTCCCTGGCAGAAAACAAGGTTCCCCACCCCTGGCTTAAAAGAAAAGCCTTTCACAGGTATGCCTGGACCTTGGCCTGCCCTCTCTGCTGTCACGTTCCCTGACCCGGGTAGAACTAGGGAAAGGTCACCTCTTGTTGTCAGCTGTGACACTGCACTCTAAAACAGGAGCTCTGGGCTGAGGTTCAAAATTCCGGATCACAACTCCATCAACAGCATCCTCGAATAAAGAGAGACAGAGAATTGGCTGAAGTCATGAACTGAGTTGGCACAGCTCTTAGCTGGTCTTATCGTAGTAAGTTTGAGAACTTCATGGTTCTGTGACTCCCACTCAGCTCAAAGGGCTTTCCAACATCTGCCAAGAGCAAGGAGGACAGTCTCACCATCCATGACATTCATGGCAAACTCCCCCACAACTCCACAGCCACCAGGTGGAAACTTGGGGGCAGGGCTGTACACCATAAAGGCTTTTCCGAATCTAGCAATCTGTTTCAAGAACTTCAAAAAAGTTTCCACTCTTTGCCCCAGCAATTCTATTCCTAGGGGTCTCTCCTGAGGAAATAGAATTGCAGTCAAAGATTTATGCATGGAATGTTCATCTTGAGTTTTTTGGGCAATGGCAAAATCCCTGGCAATAATAATCAGTGTCCTTTAAAAGGGGGACAGTTCAGACAAATTACAGCACATCTTACGGGGGCATTGGCGGCTGTTAGAAATCATGCTGTTGATTAATCATTAGCAACTGTGATGAAGACAAAGCTGTTTCTAATGCAAGAAGAGTCGCTGTGAATGACAGTTAACATGCTCAGCTGCTCACTAAAAGGTTGGCGTTTCTAGTCCACTCAGAGATGGCTCAAAAGAACAAGCTGCTAATCTACTTCTGAAAACTCAGCCATTGAAAACTCTACGGAGCACAGGTCTACTCTGACACATGTGGGGTCCACATGAATTTGAACTGATTCAATGGTAACTGACTTGATCACCAATCAAAGTGGCACAGATGGAATGTATTTTAGTAAGAAATGTACCAGCAGTTTTCCAGGCTATGCAGAGAAAGTGGAAAATGCTTCCTTCTTTTAAGAGAACAGATGACTAGGATGGTCTTACATTGTTATATTAAAATACAGCTGAAGGGTAGTGTTGCTTTTTCACCTGGCAAGAGGTGGCCTGTGACAACACACCGATATGCAGAGACCACTTTGCAGTAAGACCCCAAGTCCTTCTGTAAGGGAAAAGCCTCTGTGTGGAGGTTGAGGATTCCCAAGACCACCCTCAGGTACAGTGAGTAGCTAGAAAAACTTACAGACTACAGCACACAGATTTACAACCAGATTTATTACAGGGAAAGACACAAAGTTAAATCAGCAACCGTAAAAGATGCAGCACTGTGGGTTAATGCACTGGGCTGCAAGGTCGGCTTGAACCTCAGGGTCGGTGGTTCAAGCTCACCAGCCGCTCCTTGGACACCCTATGCAGGTTTGCTATGAGTTGGAACCAACTCGACAGCACTCCACAACAACAACAACAACAAGTGCATAGAGCAAAGTCTGGAGGAAACCAGGCACAAGCTTCCAAAAGTCTCCCAGTGGGGTCCTATTGTTGTTGTTGTTGTGAAGTTTGGACTCATAGTGATTCTGTATTGAGTTTCCCAGGCTTTTAAGATAGCCTCATCCTTCTCCCATGAGTGGAGTCACGTGGGACACATTTCATTCCTCCAGCAATGAGTTGTAAGGCCACTTGGGAAGTGTCATCTATCAGGAAAGCACACTTTGATGGTTACATAGGCGCTTTCATCATGTCCCAAAATCTTTGTTGGCATTAAGTGACCAAGTCGGTTCCAACTTATAGAAACCCTGTATAGGGTTTCCAAGGAGCAGCTTGGTGGCTTTAAACTGTCAACCTTGTGGTTAGTAGTCCAGTGATTATCCTACAGTACCACACCAGAATTCTAGACCCAGAAAACAAAGCAGATGTTCAGCATTTGTCACATTGCACAATCCAGCCATGGGAAAGTCTCACATTAGTGTGTTGTTGTTGTTAAGTGCTGTCAAGTCGGTCCCAACTCATAGCCACCCTGTATAGTGCTTCCAAGGCTGTAAATCTTTGCTGAGCAGGTAGTGGGCTCGAACCACTGACATTGTGGTTCAAAGTCCAGTGCTTGCCCTACTGACCCCACATAAGCCCCCATATCAGTTCTGACATCAAGTCAGTTCTGACCCAAGGCAACCCTGTACACAACAGAACATAACACCACCCAGTCCTGCGCCATCCTCACACCTGCTGCTACACGTGAGCCATTGCTGCTGCCACTACACCAATCCATCTCATTGGGAGGCCCCATCTTTTTCACTGTCTTTCCACCTTACCAAGCATGGTGTCCTTCTCCAGGGACTGGTCCCTCCTGATAATATGTTCAAAGCATGAGAGACAAAGTCTGGTCATCATGGCTTCTAAGGAACATTCTGGTTGTACTTCCTCCAACACAGATTTGATTGTTCTTCTGGCAGTCCATGGTACTTGAAGCCTCTTCAACACCATAACTCAATTGCATCAATTCTTCTGTGGTCTTTATCCAACTTTCACATGTGTTGTTGAAAATATCATGGCTTGGATCAGGTTCATTTTAGTCTTCATCTTTGCTCTTGACCACTTTAAAGAGATCTTGTGCAGCACATTTGCCTAGTGCAATACGTCTTTTGATTTCTTGACTGTTGTTTCCATGAGTGTTGATGGTGGATCCAAGTTGTCATCCAAATGAAGTCTTTGGCAACTTCAATCTTTTCTCCCCTTATTTACTGGTCCAGTTGTGAGGATTTTTGTTTTCTTTACGTCAAGGTGCAATCCATACTGTACATAGGCTGCAGTCTTTGATCTTCATCATTAAGTATTTTAAGTCTTCTTTGCTTTCAGCAAGCAAGGTTGTATCATCTGCATATTGAAGGTTGTTAATGAATCTTCCTTCAATTCTGATACCACATTCTTCTACATATAGTTTCTTGGATCCATTGCTCATTGTACAGATTGAATAAGGATGATGAAAGAATACACATCAGATAATGAAATGGTGCACACCTTTCCTGATTTTAAACCATTCAGTGTCTCCTTGGTCTGTTTGAACAACTGCCTCTTGATCTTTGTACAGGTTCCTCATGAGTGCAATCAAGTGTTCTGGAATACCCATTCTCCTCAATGTTGTCCATAGTTTGTCAGGATCCACACAGTTGAATGCTTGGAATAATCAATAAAGCATAGGTAAACATCATTCTGGTATTCTCTGCTTTCAGCCAACATCCATCTGAAGTCAGCAATGATATTATCCCTCCTTGTCTTCATCTGAATCTGCCTTGAACCTCTGGAAGCTTCCTGTCAATGTACTGTTGCAGCTATATAAAAATTTATCTTTAGCAAAATTTACTTGCATTTGATAGCACTGATGTTGTTCCATGATTTCTGTATTCTGTTGAGTCACCTCTTTTGGGAATAAGCATAAATATTGATCTCTTCCAATCAGTTGGCCAGGTAGGTATCTTCCAAATTTCTTGACATAGACGAGTGAGTGCCTCCAGTATTGCATCTGTTTGTTGAAAGATTTCAATTTGTATTCCATCAGTTCCCAGAGCCTTGTTCTTTGTCAATGCCTTCAGTGCACATTGTACTTCTTCCTTCAGTACCATTAGCTTTTGATCATATGCTACTTCTTGAAATGGTTGAACACTGACCATTTCTTTTTAGTGCAGCGACTCTGGGTATTTCTTCCATCTTCTTTTGATGCTTTCTGCATTAAACATGGAATCAAGATATATGGTACTTTTTTACAGCAGGCCTAGGAAACTAATACAGCTTCTTTATGCATTTATGGAGTTTCCAAATTATTCACAATGGTCTCTAATTGTGAACAGGGGCTTTTCAAAGATCAACTCAAAAGTTGGGGGCTTAAGTGAGTGAGGTTGGGAAAAGGTCAGAGATGGGCGTATTAGTGGGAGGGTTCACAGGGAGATGAAAGGAGGAATTGATGATACAAGGCCTTTGGGCTCTCTGAGTAGCACCATGGCAGTCGGCAAGAGCAAGCACCTTACAAAAGATGGCCAAAAAGGAGCCAAGAAGAAACTGGTGTTCCATTTTCTAAGAAAGACTGGTATGCTTGAAGGCACCAGTTCTGTTCAAATACAAGAAATACTGGGAAAACACTCATCAGAAGGACTCAAGGAAACACAATTGCATTTGATGACCTTAAGGGTCGTGTTTTTGAAGTGAGCCTTGCTGATCTGCATAATGGTGAGGGTGCATTTAGAAAATTCAAGTTAATGACTCAGGATGTTCAGGGCAAAAACGGCCTAGCCAACTTCCATGCCATGACTCTTACCCATGACGAAATGTGCTCCACCGTGAGGAAACGGCAGAGCGTGACTGAAGCGCATGTTGATGTCAAGGCTACCAATGGTTATTTATTTCATCTGTTCTGTGTTGGTTTTACTAAAAAATGCAACAACCAGATTCTTCGGAAGACGCCTTATGCTCAGCACCAACAGGTCCATCAAATCCGGAAGAAAATGATGGAAATCATGATCCGAGAGGTGTAGACAAGTGGCATGAAAGAATTGGTCAGATAGCACTGGGAAGGACAGAGAAAGCATGCCAGTCTATTTACGTGCTGTTAGGAAAGTAAAAATGCTGAAGAAGCCATGTGGAGTTGGGAAAACTCATGAAGCTTCATGGTGAAGGCAGTAGTTCTGGAAAAGCTACTGGAGATGAGACAGGTACCAAAGTTGAATGAGCCAATGACTATGAGCCACCAGTTCAAGAATCTGTTTCACATTCAGACTTTTAATGATAAAAAAGAAAAGATCTTATTGTGGGGGAAGGAGGAAGATGACACAGGGCACCTAACAACAACAACAACAGGGTACTAATGTAACAAAACAGACACAGAGATCAATGTGTAGGGTAATGACTTTATCATCTATTGAAGGGAGAGCCACAGCTGGGGTCCAGAAGGAGCCAGTAAAAGAGAAAGAAGACAGAGAGAAGAGAACCAGAGGGGAGGAGAGAGGGCTCCTTGGAGAGGTCAGTTAAGGCAGGGACCCCAGGGAAATCTGTCTGTTATGGGAATGGGATTGAAGGGGTAAAGGAAGGCAGAGGGAGGACTTGCAGGGGTTGGAGCTCTGCCTAGAAAATGTGGCAAAAGGCAACAGGGCTATGAGCAAGTTTGGGGTTGAAAGAGGGACACTAGGACATTTTTTCTGGGGTGGGAGAAGGATTTAAGGCTCATGGGAATGAGGAAAATAAAGAGGCAGAGGTAGAAAAAATGCATTGCATTATGGAAGGAGAATCGAAGAGGAGAGCAGCCAAGGAAGAGAAAGAAAAGTCTCAGTGGGAAACTGGGAACATCTTATTGGATGGTCTCCCATGTTGGGATAATAATCAAAGTGGCCCAGTCAGGAAAATGGAAATAATGGATATTCCCTTAGAAACAAGAGCTCACTGGCCAAAACCCAAGTCTTCCCATGAACTCCAAAGACAAGAATAAAGTGGAAGAATATGAAAGACAGCAAAACAAAATGCAGAGGCTAAAGTTACCACCCCTCAGGTGATGACAATCAGCAGAGGCCTCCTCACTCACCCTGCCGGCTGCTTGGTCACTGCCACAGGGTTGGGAAAAAGCTTAAGACTCCCAGAGAAACCAGTCATTTTCTCCACAGGGAGACCATAGGGTAGAGGTGGGGACTGATTTTGTAAAAGGCAACAGCAGAGACATGGAGTACGTGTCTGTTGGGGTCTGGTATGGCCACGTAGCCACTGGGTTGGCCTCAACACACAGTTGGTCCTGGGGGGCATAGGGAGACTCAGGGAAGCCCAGGAAGTCACTACCCCACATTCAGAGTCATACAGCGAGTAGGTGTCAAATGTGTGACCTCAACCCATTTTGACAATTCCCTCTTGTCTGGTCTGCTGGAACTTGGCACATTCAGTATTCCCACTGATGATACAGAATACGCTCCTCAAAGATCATCTGGAGGGTGAGGGACAATCCTCTAAGTAGAACCATGGAACCAGTGTTGATCCACTCCCTGAAGCCAAATGCAAACTCAGAACTGACTGTCCTCTTCTTGAAGCTTGGCCCTTGCTGGCTACCACCACCCCCAGCTCTGATCCCTCCTAATGCCCTCCAGACTGACCAGCAATGCCCTCAAACAGGCCTGCCAGCATTTGTTCGCTCTGCCCAGAAGGATCCAGATGGGTTCTAGATGGTTGACTCTCCACAACCATGTCTGACTATCACCCACCTGTCCCTGGTGCCCCTGACGCCTGAACTTTGTAGAGAGGCCTGCCTCTCCCACCCACTCATTTATAGGCAGGCTCCAGGCCTGGCTACCTTCAATCTACCCAGGTCTGGCCATAAAGTCTCTGTGGATGAAACTGAAGTTTCCCAGATGAAGTGCAGGAGATTGCAAGAAATGATAAAACTCAGAAACCCCAGGTAGGTCAGAGATACAGCTGAGACCACCTCCAAAAAAGGTGGGAGACCCCCAGTCCAGTGGTCTCTATCTCCTGCTCCCACTGATTCCAAACAAAGAGATTGGCAGCAGCTACACTAATTGTGTGTCTCCAGCAGCTTGATACCAGGAGGCGAAAGGCCTCACATTGCTCTTCCTTTTTGCACTTTGCTCAGAGCCCTTTCACACTTTTGAGAATCTTGACTATTCAGGAACTCTGTACTGGGGATTTCTCCCATGAGGTGACCTAATCTCATGCCGGGTTTTAGCTCCAAAAGAACCTGACCCTGGGCCACCTACCCACAGCTTCACAGTGCAGTCATAGGAGCCGCTAAGGATCTTTGTGTCATCCACGCAGAAATGGCAGGAACTCACCATGTGCTCGTGGTCATGCAAAATTTTGTATGGGATCTGAAAAAAGGATCAAAGAAACTAATTATGTTAGACTGCAGGCCACAAATGCACTTTAAAATAAAATCAGTTGTATTTTGATACACTTGCCATGAGTAATCCAAAAACTGAAATTAAGAAAACAATTCTACTTATAATAGAATGAAAACGAATAGTTAGCCATAGAGTTAACAAAAGAAATGTGAAACTTACATTCTGAAAACTATAAAATGTTATTGTAAGAAACTAAAGGAAACCTTAATAATCCTAAATTGATCTACAGATTCAAAGCCATCCCTAACAAAATCCCACCTGCCTTCTTTCAAATGATTTTTGTTGTTAGATACCATCAAGTCAATTCCAACTCATTTAGCCCTATGTGCAATGAAACAAAACATTATCCATTCACATGCCATCTTCACAAACATTCCTATGTTTGGACCTATTGTGGTAGCCACTGTCTCAATCAATTCATTTCATGAATGAGTTTCCTTTTTTACCGACCCTCCACTTTACCAAGCATGAGGTCCTTCTCCAAGAATTGATCTCTCCTGATAACAAGTCCTAAGTACATGAGACAAAGTCTTGCCATCTTTGTTTCTAAGGAGCATTCTGGCTGTACTTCTTCCAAGACAGATTTGTTTGTTCTTCTGGCAGTCCATGGTACTTTGAATATCCTTTGCCAACACCATAATTCAAATGTATGGTCTTCCTGATTCATTACCTAACTTTCACAGGCATATGAGGCGATTGAAAATACCATGGCTTGGGTCAAGTGCACCTTAGTCCTCAAAGTGACATCTTTGCTCTTTAACACTTTTTTTAAATACCCGTGCAGAAAATCTGCCTGATCCAATATGTCCCTTGATTTCTTGACTGCTGCTTCCATGAGCATTGGTTGTGGATCCCAGGAAAAGGATATCCTTGACAACTTCATTTATTTCTCCATGTATTAGGATGTTATTTATTGGTCCAGTTGTGAGGATTTTTGTTCTATTTTTATATTGAGGTGTAATCTATACTGAAGGCTGTCGCCTTTGATCTTCATCAGTAAGTGCTTCAGGTTCTCTTTGCTTACAGGAATCAAGACGGTATCATCTCCAAACCTGATGCCTTGTTCTTCATATAGTTCAGCTTCTCATATTATTTGTTCAGCATACAGACTGAGTAAGTATGTGTAACCATTGTTGTTACTAAGTGCTATCAAGTCGGTTCTGACTCATAACGACCTCTATAGGGTTTCTGAGGAGCAGCTGGAGGGTTTGAACTACCGACCTTGTGGTTCACAGTACAGTGCTGATCCTACAGCACCACACTAGGAGTCCATGTTTAACCATTGTTGTTGTTATTAAGTGTCGTCAAGTCGACTCCGACCCATAGCGACCCTGTATAGTTTCCGAGGAGCAACTGGTGAATTTGAACCACCAACCTTGCAGTTCAAATGGCTTTGCAGTCTTACACATTAACCCACAGCGCCACACCAGGGCTCCATGTTTAACCATTAGGGAAATGCAAAGTAAACCCACAATGAGCTATCACGTCTCTCCTCCTATTGTTATTGGTGCTGTTGAGTCAGTGCTAACTTTTAGCAACCCTATGCACAACAGAACAAAACTCTGCCCAGTCTTGTGCCAACCTCACAATCATTGCTACTCTTGAGCCCACTGCTGCCACTACTGTGCCAATCCATTTCGCTGGGCGTCTTCCCCTTTGTCTCCGACCCTCCATTTTACCAAACATGATATCCTTCTTCAGGGACTGGCCCCTCCTGATAATATGTCTGAAGTATGAGAGATGAAGTCTGGCCATCTTGGCTCCCAAGAAACATTCTGGCTGTACTTCTTCCAACACAGATTAGTTTGTTCTTCTAGTAGTCCATAGTACTTATAATATTTTCTTCTAACTCCATAACTCAAATACATCAATTCTCCTATGGTCTTGGTCTTCCTTATTCACTGTCCAACTTTCACATGCATATAGTGGTGGTGGTGATGTGCTGTGGAGTTGGTTCCAACTCATAGCGACCCTGTACAGGGTTTCCGAGGCTGTAAATCTTTTCGGTAGCAGAAATATGAGGCTATTGAAAACACCACAGTTTGGGTCAGGCGCATCTTAGTCCTCAAAGTGACATCTTTGCTCTTGAATACTTTAAAGAAGTCTTATGCAGCAGATTTGCCTATTGCAGTACATCGTTTGATTTCTTGACTGCTGTTTCCGTGGGTGTTGGTGGTTGATATGAGCAAAATTAGGTGTTTGACAACCTCAATCTTTTCTCTGTTTATCTTGATGTTATTTATTGGTCCAGTTGTGAGGATTTTTGCTTTCTTTACATTGAGGTGCAATACATACTGTCGTCTTTGATCTTTACCAGTATTTTAAGTCCTCTTCAATCCTGATGCCATGTTCTTCTTCACATAATCCAATTTCTTGAATTATTTGTTCAGCATACAGATTGAATAAGTACAATGAAAGAATACAACCATGGCACACACCTTTCCTATTTTAAACCAGTCAGTGTCCCCTTGTTCTGTTCAAACAACTGCCTTTTGGTCTGTGTACAGGTTTCTCATGAGCACAATTAAGTGTTCCAGAATACTCAGTCTCTGCAATATTGTCCATAGCTTGTCAATGATCCACACAATCAAAAGCCTTTGCATTAGTCAATAAAGCAGAGGTAAACATCTTCTTTCAGCTAAGATCCATATGAAGTCCCCATCTGAATCCTGCCTGAACCTCTGACAGCTCCCTGTCAATGTACTGTTGCTACTATTTTTGAATCATCATTAGCAAAATTTTATTTGTATGCGATATTAATGACATTGTCCAATTATTTCTGCATTCCATTGGGTCACCTGTCTTTGGAATGGGCACAAATATGGATCTCTTCCAATCAGTTGGTCAGCTAGCTGTCTTTCAAATTTCTTGGCATAGATGAGTGAGTGCCTCCAGTGCTGCATCAGTGTGTTGGAAGATTTAAGTTTATAGTCCATCAATTCTAAAGCCTTGTGCTTTGCCAATGCCGTAAGTGAATCTTGGACCACTTCCTTCAGGACCATTGTCTCTTGATCATATACTCACTACCTCTTGAAGTGGTTGAACTTTAATTAAAAAGCAGATAATAAGAGAAAACCAGATAATAATAGGTGAGGATGTGGAGAAACAGAGACTTATACATGTCTGGTCAAATGGTGCAGCCATTTTGAAAAAGAGGCTGACAGTTCTTGAAAAGGTTAAACATAGATTCCTTTATGACCTAGCAACTGTATCCGTCCACACAAAAACTCGTTTGTGAATGTTTATAGCAGTCATGATATCCAAAAGGTAGAAACAACCCAACTGCTCATCAACTGATGAATAAATGAAATGTAGTATATACAAAATATGTAATATCATTTGACAGTAAGAGCAAGTAAGCAGTGATACATTCTACAATATGGGTGAACCTTAAAAACAGACTAAGAAAAGAAACCAGTCAAAAGACAAATCCAGGATAGACAAAGTTAAAGAAAAAGACAGTAGATTAGTAGTTGTCTATGGCTGGAGGAATGAGGGTGGAAAATGGGGAGTGACTGGGTTTCTTTTAGGGTTGATAAATGTTCTAAAGTGAACTGGACTTGTACAAATCTGTGAATGCATTAACACCATTGATTTGTACATTTTATGTAGGAGAATTCTATCTCAACAAAGCTGTTTAAGTAAAAAACCTGACCTACCACTATGGGGATGATGGAGTTTCAGGGTCTGAGAGGATGTGAGGAGAAGTGGGGACATGAAGAGGTTTGGGATCCACAGCTAGGGGGTCTGGGATATGGGGACTCTGAATGCGGAGCCCGGTTTGGGGAGAGGCAGGCTGGGCCTGGAGGCACAGGGATGGGATGCTGAGGGTAGCTTTTGGGGTTGCAGGGATACAGGGTGCATAGGGAGAGTAGGAGTGTGAGGGAAGCAGGGATGCTCTGCTGAAAAGCTAGACATATAAGGATGAGGGGATGTGGGGACTTGAACTTGCCAGGCAGACAGCGCAGGGACCAGGAGATGGCGGGGACATAATCTCAAGAATAAGGATTGAGGTAAGGGACCTGAGGCCAGAACTACCTGAAGGCCAGTGTAGCCCAAGGTGGGTCAGCAAGGCACAGGGGAAGGAGATGAGAACAGGGACAAGAGGCAGACTGCAAATGGCCTGGCTGATCCTGGTCAATCTCTGGACTTCATCTTAAATGGACCAGGAAGCCAGGGGAAATTTTTGAGCCGGTTTGGACCCATCTGTGTGTGACTGTACATTAAATCAACGCCCACACACATTATCTATGGGTAATATTCTTTAGTAAACCACCTCAGAGATTTTGATCAAATCATCTGCAATATTACCTTGGGAGCATTATTATTTTGACATTCTGCCTCTTTGCTTTAAGAAGTCTGTTGTTAACATTTTCATTCAGGTACACAGCCCAATGAAGCCCAGTGTACCAACACCTCCATAAGGTACTGCTTCCATTCATGGCTGCCCTCTGTTTATTGCAGACCCGTCTTTCTCCTGAGTACTTCAAGCTGAACCACTTGCTAAGTGGTTCCTTGAGTAATGGTTTTTCTTCCAAAGGACACATGCTTTCCAAGTCTTTGTAGCACTGAAAACCACGTCTTTAAAATCTTCACCAGCAATGAACAATTTGGCTGGGAGAGAAGTGTTACGCCACACTTTCCCCTCACAACTCCCCAGAACTTAGTTCACCTCTATCAGTCTGGCTGATCATCAAAACCTCAGGTGAAAAATATCAGGAATCACTCGAATGGGCAAACAGAAGACACTGGATAACCATCCAATGGAATACTATACATCCATGAAAAGGGACAAGACATCTGTTTATATGCAGATATGAAAAAATCTATAAAATATACTTTCAATAAACACCACCAACAACAAAAATAAGGTGCAGAAGGGGTGCAAGGCATGTTAGCATTTGTGAAAACAAGGGGAAAAGGAAAATATAAAAATATTGGTGTGGCACTGTAGGATACACACTAGACTGCAAACCACAAGGTTGGCAGTTCAAACCCACCAGCTGCTCCTCGGAAACCCTCTACAGGGTCACAATGAGTCGAAACTGACACAAAAGCACTTAACAACAACAATGACTAAGGAAGGAATCCTAGTGTGGCACTGCTGGATAAGTACTTGGACTGCTAACTACAAGGTCAGTGGTTCAAACCTAATAGCCACTCCTCAAAAACCCTCTACAGAGCGCTGACTTGATGCATTTAACAACAATATAGGCATACAAGATATTGGTAAGGACAGAAACGCTGGAACATTTGCTGCCTCTACTGAGGGGAATAGGAGCTCTGGTAGTGTAGCGCATTGGGCTGCTAACCTTAGGGCCAGCAGTTCGAAACTACCAGCTGTTAGGCGGGAGAAAGATAAAGCTTTCTGCTCCTGTAAAGATTTACAGCCTCGGAAACCCTGTACAGGGTCGTTATGGGTTGGAACCGACTCCACGGCACATAACCACAACAACTGAGGGGACTGGTATTTTAGGGGTACCTGCTGGATTTTTAATTTTAAACAACTTTTATACCTTTTGAAATTGAACCTTGGAAAGGTTCTATTGAGAATATAGAGAGACAAAATACAATTCCTGGGCTTTTCTTTTACTTAAATATCAGAATCAGTATCAGGACTATGAGCACAGCAAAACTGGGACAGTTTGCTTTCTTTCCAAACAGCTTCTCCCTTGGAGAGAGCTGTGCACTCAGGGGGCAGGTGGGTGGGGGGTGGGCGTGAGGGATGGCATTTCCTGTAGGAGACTCCACTGCACTCTGACAGAAGGGAGAAGCCTAGCATTTGTGTCTGAGTCCAAGCTTTTCTGACCGGGTGTGGGAAGGACTTTCTCCCTCTCTTTGCAGCCCAGGTGTTGACCAGGTGTGGGTTATCTTCCCCCTATCTTGCACAGAACTTGGCATCCTTTCATCTGAGGACTCTAGTCTCTCGTCAACTCAGGGAAATTGCCTTCAATGCTGCTCTTCCCCTTCCTCTCCTCCGAATCTGTCCCTCTCTAACAGCTGATGCCAGTAGACTGGCTCTTCGGATCCATCTTTTCTCTCATAATTATTATATTTTCTTGTGTTTTCTCTGCATTGTGAAGCCTCCACAGCGGATTTGGGTTTGGAAATCCTGTTTAGCCGCCTGATTATCCCCCCTTTCCAGCCCCACAACCTTTGTTTTATCCATGCAATCAATCTCCTCTCAAACATCACTGAGAAAACAAAAGTGTTAATGAGGAGTTTTTCCCTCCTATTTTCTGTTGTTTCTGGCTGTTTGAAGGTCTGAAGGGCTCTTTCACTGGTGGGCTGCATTTGTGTCACTGCCAGGTGACTCATCCAGAGATAGTAAATTCAGTCCCAACGACTCCTGCCCCCAGCAGTCTTTGTCCCCCACTCCAAGTTGAAGCTGCCCAAGTTCCACTTGCGTCTTTGCCCACTGGGTTTGCTCAGCCTGGGGAACCTTCCCATGTGTAGGGTACTGGCCACCCCCCAAAGGGTGGTGCTGACCTTGGAGAGGGGCTCCTGGTCGCCCCAGAACAACTTCTTAGGCACCGGCTGCTCCTCCAGCAGTGGCGAGGTCTTGCCCACGTCCAGTGGGTCGAGCATGCCCAGCAGCCGCATCTGGTGCGCCTCAGAGATAGGCATCATGAACTGGCTGTAAGCTCTGGCCACCATGGCCCAGGGCAACCTTTGGTAAAACCGCGCGCCAACCGGGGCAAAAGGCAGTATCCTCGCACCATAGTGTGGTTTCCTGACCCCGCCCAGGATTTTCGGGGAGCTGGGGGAAACGCCCCTGCCCAGGATTTTCGGGGAGCTGGGGGTGACACCATCGCCCACGATTTTCGGGGAGCTTGGGGAGACGCCCCTGCCCAGGATTTTCTGGGAGCTGGGGGAGACCCCGCCGCCCACAATTTTCGGGGAGCTGGAGGAGACAGACCGCTGGGAGGCCATCTCTGAGCCCGACCTGTCGGTGGTCAGCACAAAAGCCTGGCGGTAAACGGTGGCACCGCGTGCCCCCAGCCCCCACACCCGCGCCGGGCCCTTCAGATCCCAACGCAGCCCAGCCTGCATCTGGCCATCTCGCTGACTCCTCTCACCTGCTGGGTGAAAAATAGGGGTTACCCCTTTGGGTCTTCCTATCTCCCTCTTAAAGGATTTCTGTATGTTTGTTGCCGGTCTAGGAGCTCCTGGCCAATTCAGTCCCTGTTGAAACTGAGTGCCATCGAGTCGGTTCTGACCCATAGCGACCTATATAGGGTTTCCAGAGTGACTGGTGAGCTTGAGCCACCGTCCTTGGGGTTCAAACCCATGTTGCAGTCCAGCGCATTAACCCACAGCACCACAGCGACTTCCAAATTCACTCCCTAGCACCATAGAATGGTAAATGCATTGAAAAACGACCATGGAAATAGGATGCAGCGATTAGAGGGCTACACAGTTTCTAAGAGCAACGGTTTGTCACGACGTTAAAGAAAATAAGAGAGGTACCAGCAGTGGGTAACAGCCCACAGCTAGAAAAGGAATTATTCCAAAATATGAAGAGTTGTCATCTCTGGGTAGTAGAACTAGAAGTGGGTTGTTTTTTTTTTTTTCCTCTTTGAAAAATGGTTCTGATTACTGATAATATTTCATAATGTAAAATAACAACAAAAACTTAAAAAAAAAAAAAGTCTCAACAGTGCAGATGAGGCAGCCTCAGACCGGGGACTGAGTCTGCCATTTAAAAAGGACCCAGAGCTGGTGTGACCGGGGTATGAGCACTGTCTCAGATGACACTTCCTCTGATGGGGTCCTGGCTCTGGGCCACCCAATCACAGATGAAGGACAAGTGAGTGCTCCCCACCTAGACACCTGTCCTAAAAGAAAGCCAAATGATCCTTGTTCTTCATAACACAAGCAGAGAAAACCCTTTACTTTTCATTTCTTTTGTAAAGACTCAGGAAAGAAAAATAGAAAATTCCACTTTAATTAATTAAACTGTACAGTCTGGATTGTTTCCTTGGACATGAACTGAAGTTAAAAATAGAAATTAATTTCTGTCTCTTCGAAAGCAGCGTTGGAAATGTCAAGGTTTTAGAAATTATTTTACAGCATGGGTTTACACATAAATACAATCTGTACACTGTATTCACTGCACAATCAATGGTCTTCCGTCATGGTGGAGGTCTGGATTGGGGCAGGCCAGGGTAGAAGGAAATTAGTGTCTCCTCAGTGGAAGCTGTTTCAGCCTGGAAGAGAAGAGAGAGAAAGTCAGATCAAAGCTGAAAAACCAAACAGCTCCACGAGCACCAAGGATGCCAAGCCTGTGTCCACCCATAAACCCCAAGGGATGATGAACACTGGTTTAATCTGTATTCTCCCGAGTCAGCTACATCCCAAGTCCTCACCCACGCACATCTCAATGGGAACCAGTTATAAAGGCCACTGTAATCCTGGCTTCCCTCATTTTCCTCATCCACGGGTGACTTTGGGGAAGGAACTGATAAACTGGTTCACTCCAAGGTCAGTCTAAGTCGGTTTCACACACACATGAATGCTTACAGCAGCTCTAGTCCTAATGGCCCCAACGTGGAAACACAAAGGTCCATGGGAGTGGACCAGATGGTATCGATTTGCACAGATACCATCTGGTATCCTTCAGGGCAACGAGAAGGAACCAGCTACCGGGCCTGGGACGATGCAGGGGCATCCTCACAGGCCAAACTCAAGAATTCATGCCACAAGATTCCTTTACAGAAAGATCAAAAACGGAAGGAAAGAAAGATCAAAAGTGGCAAGAAGAATCAACAATAACAAAAGTCAGAAAAGAGTAACCCTTTGGGAGGAGGGTAGGGTAATAATTTCACTCAGCATAATGCCTTCTAGTTCATTCATGCTATGAGGTATTTTGCAGATTCACTGTTATTGTTTAACATCGCATAGTATTCCATTGTGTGTATGTACCATAGTTTGCTTATCCATTGACGTTGCTTTGCTATATGGATACTGTTGCAATGAACAGGGGTGTCATGTATCTATTTATGTCACAGCTCTTATTTCTCTAGGATATACCTAGTAGTGGGGTTTCTATTTCCACCTTTTTAAGGACGTGCTATATTGTTCTCCCCAAGAAGCTCTGGTAGCGTAGTGGTTACGAATTGGGCCATTAACCTCAGGGTCCGCAGTTTGAAACTACCAGCTGTTCCATGGGAGAAAGATGAGGCTTTCTGCTCCCGTAAAGATTTACAGGCTTGGAAACTCTGTACAGGGTCGCTATGAGTCGGAACCGACTCCACGGCACATCACCAACAACAACAACAGCAGCGTACAAGGGCTCCAGTCTTTGCACGCCCACTCCAGCATTTGATTTCTGGCTTTTGGAGCTTTGCTATTAATGCTGGGATGAAATGATCTTTTATTGTTGTTTTAATATGCATCTCTCATTTCTTTGTGTTTGCTGGCTACCTGAATGTCATGTCCTCTGCCTATTTTTAAATGGATTATTTGTCTTTTTGCTGTTTGAGGTGTTGGAAGTTTTTAAATAAATTATAGAGCTTAGGTCCCTTGCCCACTACGTTGTGGCCAAAAAATGTTTTCCCAGTCTGCGGGTTCTCTTTTTACGCTTTTGGTGAAATCTTTTGATGCACATTAGGGGTCCCAGTTCATCTAGTTTGCCTTCTGCTGCCTGTGTGCTTTTAGTTATGTTTGGTAGTGGCTTTATGTTGTGTATAAACTAACTCACCAACCGCTCCTTGGAAATAGCACGTAACAACAACAATGACTAGTTTGTTCCTATTTTTTTCTTTGATGGTCTTTATAGTTTCAGGTTCCACATTTAGGTCTTTCATCCATCTTGAGTGCATTTTTGTATATGACATGAGACATGGGAGCTTTTTCAGTTTTCTACAAATGGATATCCAGTTTGGGCAGCACCGTTTGTTAAACGGACATCCCTTCACCATCTTTAAAGAGTTCTGGCCCTTTGTCAGCTGTCCATTGGCACATGGATTTACTTCTCATTTCTCAATTCTGTTCAGCTGGTCTGTGTGTCTGTGGTTGCACCAGGACCAGGCTGTTTTGATGCCTCTGGGTGTGTAGTAGATTTTGAGATTAGGAAGTGAAAGGTCTCCTATTTTGCTCTTCTTCTTTAGTAGCTCTTTATTTATCCAGGGTCTTGTTCTTTTTCATATAAAGTTGGTGATTAGTTTTTACAACTCTTGAAAATATGATGATGGACTCCAGATCAGGACTGTAATAGATGTGTAGATTAGATCCCTTTGGGTAGGGCCAACATTTTCATAATGCTAAGTCTTCCTATCCATGAGCATGGTATATTCACATTCTTACATTTATGTAGGCCTCTTCTGGATTTTTGTAGTAGTGGTTTGTAGTTTTCTTTGTATACGTCTTTTGTGTCTCTGGTTATATTTATTCCTAGATATTTCATCTTTTGGGTAGCTATTAAAAATAGTATTGCTTTCCTGATTTCCTTGCCAAAGTTCTCTTAGTTGGTATAAAAGAAACTGACTGATTTCTATACGGCATACCTTGTCACTCTGCTGAATCATTCAATGTTGTTGTTAAGTGTTTTCTAATTGGTTCTGACTCATAACAACCCTGTTGTATATGGTTTCCAAGGAGCGGCTGGTGGGCATGAACCACCAACCTTGAGGTTCAAATTGTTAACAGCAAATATTTTTTAATTAACAATTGATGTGATAACAAGGTAATTTCATAACATAAATGGAAATAGTCACTTTGGGAAGGTCACTTGGCAGTACTCATTCATTCTCAGAAATCCTATACAGGGTAGCTATGAGTCAGAACCAACTGGAATGACACTTAACAAGAACAACATTCATTCTAAGGAGTACTGGTGTGCATTGTAGAATAAGCACAGGACCACAAAGTTGATTTGAACCACAAGGCCAACAGTTGCAACCATCAGTTGCTCCTTGGAAACCCTATACAGGGTCATAATACCCTCCAAATTTATGCTACCTGAAATTATATTACTTAGGTGAGACAGCAGCTGGGCTGGGGAAATAATGACTTCAGGTAGTGGGGGTGGCAGAAAGGAAGCATTTATGATCTTCTATAGCGAGATTTCACAGGTTCACAGATGAAGAATTTGTTCCAGAATGGAATATGATTTGACTTAGAGGTTGCAGAAGATGAAATTTTGGACCTGGATTTGGAGTTGATTTAAGACTCTGGGGTTGATGTGACATGGTGAGACAAACAGAGAAGAGCAATTCAGTTCTAACATCCAAAAATCAGATTGAAAGGCTGATCTATCCGGGTTCCTCCTCCTCAATTTGAACCCATTTGTGGTTCTTCAGATAGACCCTAAAGTGACAGATGAGCAAATAAAACAGCGGTTTGGGCCGTTATCTAGATTGGCGCATCCCAACAAAACCAAGATGATGCTGGTAGAGCACAAAAAGCTTTTGAAGGTAAAAGAGCAAAAAACAGCAATTCGGGAAGGAAGGGAAATGTACAAATGTGGAGTAGGGTCCCAGCTGCTCAAACAAGCAGGAGATAAACAGACCATGAGGCTCTCTGCTAAGCTGGAAATTCAGAGGAAAGAGAGAGAGGCATGAATGGAAGCAAGAACGGAAAGAAGAGATTGAAGCTCAAGAAAACGCCAAATGAGACAGGAAGTGGTAGAAAAACCTTAAGGAAAAGTCAAGGTGGTTCTGTGGATAGCTGACAAAATTTCCAAGCAAACACAAAAAGAAGAAAAATGGGACCTTCCTGAGACCATCAGAAAGAAAATGGCACAGTGTGAGTGGCCACCTGGGGTCCCAGCCACAGAATCTCCCTCCAAATGCTCCCCCTCCTTCTTTGAAGGACTCATTCTTTCCTTCCACCCCTACCCTAACATAGAGTTGGTGTTTTTGTTAAGTGCCCGTCCAGTTGGTTACAACTCATAGTAACCCTGTCTAGGGTTTCCGAGGAGCAGCTGGTGAGCTTGAATCACCAACCTTGATGTTCAAACCAACCTTGCAGTCCAGCACATTAACCCACAGCACCACACCAGGGCTCCAGAACATAGAGTACTATTGGTTTTTTATTCCATTGTTTTAAAACAACTTAATATCCATCAGGATCATTCTTCCATACACTGAACTGAGGGGCTCCGCTTGAAAACAGTCCTTCCCACCCCCTACCCCAGAGCGATAAGGACAGGAGGTACCAACACAGGTCCCCTCTGTGCCCAGAGCCTGTGACTTAGTGTTCTGTGCTGCACGGAATTGTGATGGTTAAAAACTTCATGTACAGTTTATGGAAACCACCTAATTAAACATGCTGCTTAAATACATATTTTATATTAAAAATTCATATAGATATGTGCATATATTTATATGTGAGTACATGTGTGTGTGGTTGCACACACAAGAAAAGTTCTTTTTAAGAACTGGTAGAGGTTTTTCTGGAGGAAGGAGAGGTTTGGGGAAGTGGCCCAGGTGTATATTAAACTTTGTCTGTAAGGTCTGAATTTTCATAGTGAGAATATATTCACTTTTTATTTATGTAATTAAAATTTAACAATTTTTTTAAAAGTCCAGTTGCAATACAAACTTATCATTTCTAACATTTGCCTCTAAACAAATGTATCCCACTGTCCATGAGCCTCTGCAAGGGCTCTAGAAAACCCCACCTCCCAAGGCCTACCGTCTCAGGAGTTCCTCAGGTGACATGCCCGCAGCCCCTTCTTCATCACTCGGGCTGTTACTGCTATCGGTACTCTCAGAACTACTACTCTTCTCCGACTTTTTAGTCTTTTGTTTGCCTTTGTGTTTATGCTTCCTGTGTTTCTTCTTCTGTAAAAAAAAGAAAAGAAAGCAAACTCAGATGTTTCTTTTCCCCAATTCAGTGCAATGAAAGACTAACAAGGTATGTAATTGGCTGCTGAGACATTCAAAAACAAAAACAAAACACCTCAACCGGAGCGACTATTAGCTCAGCGGTGGGCAGAGGACAGGAACACACTCGCAGGAGTGCAGACACTGGCGTCTGCAACCAAGCATACGGAGGAAGGACCCCAACCTTAAGCGATGCTACTGCCAAGAGCCTGACTGACTTTATTTTGTTGGGTACCTGAGAAACTGCACAGGAGGAGGGCCAGCCCCCTGGAAAAACACAAAGAAACAAGCTGAGGGTCACTTGTCACTGAGGGTCACAGGACACTGGTAAAATAACAGATGGAACGTTGACAAGTGCCCTCTAACCATCAGTAAGGCAA